CAAGAAGATATATTATGTAATCTGCCTTCCAGGCAAAAAACAGCATCACCAATAAACTTCTAATTATCCATACAACCCACTTACCATCTCCTGATTGATTGATGAGCCAAAGTCCATGAAAACAACCTCCCCTTATCCAAAGGAGACAAGATCAAGTTCTAAGCTAGCAGAGAACAAAATCATATACTTTATTCAAAGGCAAATCCTAGCTGTGTGGGAGTCTAATAAATCATCATTGAATACAGAAGGGATTCAGCTGAAACCTGTGCAGTCTCAGATGTACAGCCAACACTGCAGCACTGTGCATCAAGCCTTTGCAGGTTTACTGCTCTAAATATATCAAGTCCACCTGGGAAGGCCATCACCCATGGTGCCTTGCAGTCTCTGAGGCCCTACTACATGAAATGTCCTGGTCCATAATCACAGTGATTTCACTAAGCACACTTTCCATTCATTCTTTCCCTGACTATCAAGCTCAAGAGATCAAAAAACTGCAGAGAAGCAGGTGAAGGATCAGTGGAATTTCATAGCAAAAACATCACTGCTGGCACACGGATCAAAGGGGGAAGATTGGTGCGTTCTGGGAAATAACGCACCCCTTCAGTTAAATGACCTGAAGTCTGGGAAGATGAGAGTCAAGTGGGTGCATTTCCTCCAAAATGGGCCATATGTAGGCATTTATTTAGGCAGCAAGATCTTTGGGCTATAAAGTAGTGACATTAAGACTAATAAAGTTGAGAGGAAAGGGGCCGTGACATGACTGAAATCATTTAAAGAACAAATGTTTATTGAGCATTTCAAGTCAGACAGAGAGAATGCCACATGACAAGACAGAGTCTCTGTCCTCACGGTCTAGTGTGGAAGACAAACCAACAAGCCATTTTAGTAGTGTGCTCAGTGCCAGAAGGAAACAGTGTGATAAGAAAAATAGGAGGGGACTCAGATCTAGTTTGGCAAGTGGGGAACAGGACAGCTCTTCCTAAAAGATGCTATAGGTAAATGGAGGTCAGAAATATGTTGATGGCCCATCAACACGTTGCTACACTTACAGAATGGGGATGGCATCTTCCTATGAAGGTATCCCTGTGAAATGGGGCTGATAGTTGCCTATTTAATGCGAGTAAAAGATGGCTCATATAACCAAAGATTTACTCTGTTGCCAAATCCGTATGGACAATAGAAGAGGTTATTACATAAATTTTAGAAGAAAGGCAGAATATTAGTCTTAAAAAGAAAATAGAAGCTCATGGGTAGTTAATTTGCATCATTTGGAAAGTCTAGACTCCTCGAGGGAGTTTGGAATCATCTAGTATCAGTTCTGTCACCATCAGGAATATGCCTAAATCAGTCTATGTGGTTGTGAATTGTCATCATTATTCAGTAGACTCAAATACAGCAGGCAGGTTGCCTCTGTCCACTTCTATGACCAATGATAATCTCTGTGGAGTTGCTTGGCTTCCTCCTTGGCTTGTCTTTTCTTTGGAAAATGAGAATGTTGGATGAGAACAATGATTTTCAAAAACTTTTTGTTACTACAATCCACAGTAAAAATAGTCATTTTACATGCTGACCTGATAAAATATCCATCTTTATTAATTTCAGTGCATTTGCTATTTTTCTATTTCATTCTAATACATTTCTTTTAAGAAAATTGCTGGTAGATCCACTAAGCTAATTTCATGTCTCATAGTTTGTAACTTACAGTCTGAACAATTCCAGACTAGATCATCCCTGAGGGGCCTTCCTACCCCAATTATGGAAATCATCCTCATTATCACCTAATATCTACCACACAGGGGCTGTCTCCTATGATCCTTAAAGCAGTAGTATAACACGGACAGAGGAGATTATGAGATTCATCACAGATCCCGCAGCCAGAGCATGACAGAGCTGGTACCAGAACCCAGAGAACACACAATAGCAGCAATGCTTGCCCTGGTTGGCACCTCTTCTCTCAGAGAATTCCACCTCCTGACCACCCTCTGTCATACAGCTGCAACTTAAATGCCACTCCTAATCTGTCGAAATGAGATGCAAATCTAGTGAACACATTCCAAGAATTTAATGTTAATTTTTATATTAATGCCCTTGCTGGATCTTTCAGGCACTACCCCATGCCAAACACAGGTGGATGAAACTCATTCCCTGGCCTGGAAGGGCTCTCCTTCTAACAGAAAAAAATCCACCCACAGACCTGAACACTAAGCATGGCACTGAAGACTCTTTCAAAACTGCACTTCCATTTTGCTTCCTCAGTAATAAGCTCATTGTTCGATTTAACCTCAGCACTATCTTCCCATCTGGCTGATGGAAAGTACCAAGGCTCAAGCCTTCCATGGAGACTCTCTGAGCACTGGAGACAAACAGAACAGCCAGAGGGTGGCACTCCAGTGGGAAGAGAAGGGCACTCACAGCACCTTCCAGGAAGTACTCCCTCTGTTGCTCCCCTTCTGTCCCTAAAGGGTAAGTGAATAGGGGATGCCAACAGGCTGTCAGCCTCCTTCTACATACCCTTCTCATTCTAGACAAGCATCAGCTGACTTCAGGAATATATAAAAGACGTTGTTTAACATCATGGAAAGGTCAGGTCACTAGATTTATGGATAACACCTGTATTAGTCTGTTCTCATACTGCTGTGAAGAAATACCCAAGACTGGGTAATTGATAAGGAAAGAGGTTTGATCGACTCACAGTTCCACATGGCCGGAAAGGTCTCAATAAACTTACAATCCTGGCGGAAGGTACCTCTTCACAGGGTGGTAGGAGAGAGAATGAGTGCCAGCAGGGGAAATGTGCCAGGCACTTATAAAACCATCAGATCTCAGGAGAACTCACTCATTATCACGAGAACAGCATGGGGGAAACCACCCCTGAGATTCAATTACCTCCTACAGGGTTCCTTCAACAACACGTGGGGATTATGGGGATTACAATTCAAGTTGAGATTTGGATGGAGACACAGCCAAACCATATCAACAGCTTATTTATAGTACTTGGGAGAAAAAAATTTACATCAGAAGCAAACGACAGGGGCAAGAGTGATTTCAGGGGACCAAAACCTAAGTTTTAAAGAAAGACTTAAAGATCTTCCTTCATTTTCTTAACTACTCACAAAGCAATAAGTGCTGGTTAGTAACATGCCAGTACTTCTAAGGCAATTATTTTCACAATGATTGGAACCTGTAGTGGAAATTTATTGTTTTGCTTTCCACATCCATTCCTCCTCTTTCTGCTGACAGTATCCATATTTACTGTGAGGATCTATATTCCCTTTATTCCAAGCCAGATGGTGTGGGTGGCCCTACCTTAAACCCTATTTTAACTCCAGGGGTGGGCTCTGACTGGCTTTAATTACTGGTGATTGGTTTTGGTTGGGGACTGGGAAGAGAGTCTAATCAGAGTCAATAAGGCAGAAGGATTCGCTTTCTGAGGCGTCAGAGAAAGAGTCTTTTCTCTTCCACAAGAGCTACCAGAAAAGAGTATCTTTCTATTCCTGGATGATGTGGAGTGAGAACAGGAGATGGAGGACTGTGGCAATAACGAGGTGAGAGACTTCACTGGATAGAGCTTGAGGATGAAGCTGACCTTGCAGAGGCAGAGTAGAGAGCCAGAGAGAATCTGCATCTTGAGCAACGCCATCTGGGCTTCTGGTTCAAGCCCTGCCTGCAACCCTTCCTCTAGATTCTTTAAAGGAGCCTTTGTGGGCTTAAGCCAGTTTGTATTTTCTAATGCTTACTAGCGAAGTAATTCAAGGTGATAACAAATACCTTGAACACTTTGGAAAGTGGTAGTGTCCAAAAAATTTAAGGTTTCTTTTGGAAAGAGCAGGAGTCCAATGTGATAGAGGTTGATTTTTTTTTTCCTTAGCTGCTTCTATTAATTCTGCAGGAAACAATCACAATACTTCACATTATATAGTTGCTCCTACTTCTCAAAAACATATTTTCCACACAGATTTCCTCACCTGAATTTCACAATCCAGAATCAGAGCAATTATAAAACATTTTTTATTTTGCAGTAATTGTTATTCAGCACTTTATACAGTTTAAAATATGATTTCAAGTTCAGTGATTCATTTTATTGTCACAATAACCAAATGAGATAGAAATGTTGAGTCTATCATATCTATTTTAGGCTGGAGAAAGTTGAGCCTCAGATAAGTTCAATGAGATGTGTGAGTTAATTTGAGGAGGTAGGGGAAGACAGGACTTAAATCTCAGTCTCTTGCTTCTATTTCTCTCACCCAATCCTCTAAACCAAATATACTAAACTCTATTCCCAGAAACAAATACAAAAGGGCTAGCGGTGGGTTCAACTTGACCAAAGCATTGGAAATCTGGATTCCAGTGGCAGAGCCAGAACTAACTAGCTGGTGACCTTGGGCAAGTTTCCTTTGTCTTGTTTTTTGTAAAAGAAGAGGTTTAAACTAGGATCTCTAATGCTCCTGCAAGCTCTAAAATTTCTGTAAGTCTAGAGTTTTCCGTCCTTTCTCTGAAATTAATTTTTTTCCCAGAATAATAATCACAACCTTATTTATTCTCCCACTGGGTACCAGGCACTGTGCTAAGGTACCCCCATTTTCTACTCCCTTTTTCTCTTTAGATCTCACGACATTCCTGAGACAATTATATCTCTTTTACAGATAAGGAAACCTGGACTCATGTAGGTTAAATGAACTGCCCCAGACCAGCAAAATTAGTAAGCATCAAGCGGAGAGCTGACCGCAGGTCAGACTGACCGCGAGGATCTAAACCTGGTCTATGTTGTTATTGCAGAAGAAATCAGGCTCCCTGCATTACTGGTCGCCTCTCTCCGCGCATAAAAGGGAGAGGAGGGACAAGAAAGCCAAACCAAGTCACAACAAGCCCCTGCAAGGCAAAAACAGAAAAACCGCTGGAAGGGCTCCCGGGAGGATCCTTTCCAGGTCCAGGGGGCGGGGCGCAATTTTCCGGCAGCCACGGGACCGCAACGCGGGCAGTCCTGCCCTCGGGCCCATTACCTTGTTGAGATGAGGGTTCCTGGTGACATCGTATCCGCGCTTCTTCAGGGGCACAGGGCGCGCCGGGCCGGGCTTGGAGTGGCAGCCTTGGGCGGGCGTGGAGGGTGCCCAGCGCGGGAGGGCGCCGCAGGCCCGGCCCGGCCAGGGAGCCAGCCGCGTGCCTGTCCCCAGCGCGGCGCCCATGGTCCTTGTGCAGACCTGGCACGGGAGATAAAGCAAGGTCAGGGCCTCCTTCCAGCTAGCCAGGACCCACGCGCGCTGCGGGGCACCGGGCCTGATCCGGGGACGCCCCTTCTGGGAGAGGGCAGGGGCTCCCAAAGGGTTAAAGGCTCCAGCCCCCGCCACTCCTCGGCTGCCACCTGGTCGGCTCCGTGCGGTGCGCCAGGCCTAGCCAAGAGCCAGACAAAGCGAAACCAAGCCCTGGAAGCAGATCCGGTGCGGGTGACAGCCGGCGCCACCCCCGCCCCCATCCCTGTGAAAAAGAGGCGACTGCGCGGCGAGGGGTCCCCGAACCCTCAATCCCGCGTGGTGGCTTGCCTGGGTTCCCTCCTTCCCTGGCCCACCTGCGCTGCTCTGGGAGCTGAGGTCTACGCGGTCCCGCTGCGGAGCAGGCGGTTAGTCCGCTCCCGCCAATGGGTGGACCGCGCTGGCTGCCGCGAGCTCGCGGAGCTGGTGCGTTCCTGAAAGAGCGGTCCTACAACCTTTGTTCTCAGTGCGTGGCTTCCCCTGAGGACGCGCGTGGGGCGCCTCAGCACTGCGTGCACGTGGTTGTCCCCAGTGACAAGCAGCAGCTCAGAAGGCCCGCCTGAGACTCTCCATCTTGGCAAGACTAAATGCACAGAGGGGGATTTGCGTTTGCGTTTAGGGGTCAGCATACCCTCGCACTCTCCCAACATTGGGGGAAGGGCGTGCCTTCAGGATTTGGAGTCGAAATCCTCAGGCATTCGGTGCTCAGAGCTGCCTTGTGCTGTCCGATACAATGATATAATAGCCATTCGCCACGTGTGGCTATGCAAATGTAAATAAATTAAATAGAATAAAATTTAACATTCCAGTTCTGCAGTCACACGAGCCACATTTCAAGTTCAAGAGCCACTTGTATGCAGATACAGAACATTTCTGTTTTTGCAGATACTTCTATTGAGCATCGTTGATATAGGAGCCACAGTTACTAAGAGGACTCCTGAGGACCCCATGGAGCTTGCCATGGGTTATTGGGGCCAGACAGGGATCTTGGGGTCCATCTAGCCCCAAACTTAATTTTATACTTTCTCCACACTGTAGTCAGGAAATTCCTTTTAAAGCAAACACTTTGTTGTGTGTGGAATAAAATCCAAACTTTCGGGACCTGCAAGATCTCCCATAAGCTGGCTCCTGCCAACTTCTTCAAACTTACCCTACTCTACTCTTCCCTTCTCACTGATCTCTGGCGATACTTCCTCCTCCCTGTGTCTCCACCCCACTCGGTTCCCTCCCACTGCAGGGCCTTTGCACTTGCTCTTGCCTCTCCTTGGAAGGCTCATCCTCCAGCCTTCCGAACCACTGCTTCATTCCCACCTCTCAGTTCTCCACTAAGTTGTCAACTCGAAGGCCTTTCCTCTATTCCATCCAATGTCAGCCTGCACTAGGAACTACAGAGTGAAGGGGTTTTTCTCTTTAGAGAACTTAACAGTCAGTAGTGCACTTGTTTTTCTGATTGTTTACTGACTGTCTCCTGTCTAGAATGTAAGCTTCATGAGGTGAGGCTCTTTGCCTGTGGACCTGTGTGTCCTCACTGCCGAGCTCACTGCCTGGTATGTGGTTGCACTATAAATAGTTGTTGGGTGAACTGAGGGAAGTGACAGCCACTTTCATAAGGATCGTGAACCCTGAGACTTACTGACAGACAGGTGGCACGGTGCTCTGCTGATGCCCCTTCAAAGCTCCCCGTGCCAGCATTAGCCCCGTTGTAAGTACCCAGCAGACATCATGGCACATAATGTGCTAAGGACTGCTCCTGCTTGAGTTCAGGATTCCCTCATCCCTTCAGGAATAATTGTCTCCTGCAGTCTCTCCCCTCCCTGTGTAATATCCAATTTTCAACTTGAATGATCTACATAAAATAGTTCTTTCCAAAACAGAATTACCATTACCTGGTAGGAAATAAGAATGGGGCAAAAATACAGTTTTCCAGGCCCCATCCATGAAGATTCTCATCCAGTAGGGTTTACATCCCTGAAGTCAGGTTTACTCTTGGACTGTATATTTACATAAGCTTATAAATGATTTTTTCTGCCTTAAACCAGTTTGTGTCAGATGTGTGATTGTGTGCAACCAATAGTATTAACTAAATCCTTTCAACACTATTTTTATACTGGCACTTATTCCCACCAGTCAAATAACATCTTTGGGGGGCAGAGATCATGTGTGTTCCCACCTTTGGTATCTAGTGCACACATAATTGGAAGCTGATTGTTGAACCAGTTTGCCTTTGCTGAATACAATGACCTTTCCCTCCCCTGGAGGGTATTTAATAGGTAACTTTAGTCATCTGAAACCAGGATGTAAACAACAAAGGTTTCCAAACAAGCAAATATAATTTTTATAGCATCAATTCACTAAAGCTTGTACAGTTTACATATAAAAGGCTCTCACATGTCCTCACCTGTGGCCTATATTCTCTTAACCCAGGCATAATTCTACAACGTTGTTTTTGTGTGTGTGTGTGTGTGTGTGTGTGTGTGTGTGTGTGTGTGTGTTTTCTTTGGTGACAGGAAAGGAAAGGTTCAAGGCAGGTCCACCAGGAACAGTGACAGAAGGCAGTAGCGAGAGGAGGTGGCTTCTCAGTTTCATAGAGTTGTCCAGGGACCCACGTTTTCTCTTTTGCTGCTGGGCTCTTCTTTAGGTGTTGCTTGCATCTATACAGCACTAATATCAGGTTAGCATCCCAGCCATGGAAAGGGGGAACAAGGAAACAGAGGGAAAGCAAATCTATTTTTTTTTAAAATTGAGACAGGGTCTCACTGTGTTATTTAGGCTGGTCTTGAACTCCTGGGCTCAAGCAATCCTCCTGCCTCGGCCTCCCAAAGTGCTGGGATTACAGGCGTGAACCTCCGTGCCTGGCCAAAGCAATTCTATTTTATGGAAGTGACATGAAAGTTGTATATAGTTCTTCTACTCACATTCCATTGGTAAAAACTAAGTCACACATTCACATCAACTACAGGGAGGGCCGGAAAATATTGTTTGTAGTAGGAAAGGCATGTATGTGCTCTACTAATGCTCAGTGGGGAGTCTATTACTAAAAGGAAGAAGAGGAGAATGGTTCCTAGGGACCACTAACTAGAAGTCTAAATATAATACTCATTTTCTGTTGAAGTGCTTAGCCCGTAGTGGGTGCTCAGAAACTGTGAGCTGTTATTATTGGCACGTGTGGTTTCCATCTCTGCTTTCGTGGCAACTTCCTTACTTTTAGAGCTGAATATAGGATTTCAGAGACCAGGTTCAGAAACATGGAAACACTCCAGAACTTTTTCCAACTCCATACAACTCTGACTTCCTTAGCCAGCCAGGAAGTTGGCTTGTGATCTGGTAATCTGGTCCAGCACTCTACAGAACTAATGGGTCTCCATAATTTGTCTTGGCCTCTCTCCCTTCATATCCCATTTACTGACTTCTGCCATCGTTGTAATGATGCTTCTTGGGATGGCAGAGAAGGAATCGCATTCCATCCCCTCCAGCCAATGATTCTACATTCCAGGTATAGTTAATACTTTTGCTTTTCCATTGTGATTACAGATTTAAATATCTACTTGTTTCCCTACTAGATTGTGAATTCCTTGAGGACTAGAACCACCATTTATAATTCTTTGCAGCTCCAGTACCTGGAAAAGTGCCTGGCACTGAGAATTAACTCAGTTTGTTGAATTAAATATAATTATGGTTCAAATTTGTGCATAACCTTCCAAGAAGTGGAATTGAAACTAAATTTGGTACATTGTTAAAAGGGCACAAAGTGGCTTCAAGTTAGATTTTTAACTCAGTCAGCTATCTTAAAACAAGATCTCTTATCTTCTAAAAGCAGATAATGACCTTACACGTGGATTTTAAAAAGGAGGTGAATATAAAATTCATTATTTTTCAGTTAATCCCATTGCTTCACAAACTTACTCATAACATTCTACGCAACACTTAATGTTCATGATTGCCCCAAATAACTCTTTAAATTCATGTTGCTGCTAGTAATATTTGTAAACACTTCAACTCTATTATTATTATTATTATTTGCAGCAAAGGAGAATTATGGGGATCATTTATTTCTTCCTAGTCTGCATACTCATCACTCTGCTTAAGTGTCCTGAACTCTGGGCCTTTGCTCAGCAGTTTCCTCTGCTTCCAGCATCTGCCAGTTGAAGCCCTGTCTGTCCTTTACAATTCCACTCAAACACTACCTCCTCCAACGAGCCTCCCCAGAGTCCCAACCAGCAGCTTACCCTCCCTCCTAGATGCCCACAAACTCTGCTATTTGTATCTCTCCTATTTACTTTTATTGCACTTTTGAAAATCTCTCCTATTGTGCAAAAAGGCTCATAGAGGTGAACAGCTTTAAATCCAGATGGTCGGGACTCCACCAGTGAGTGACTTTGAGCATTTTATGTGACCTCTTTAAGCCTCACCATCCTCATGGATAAAAACTGAGATCCTAACATCACTTCTCACGTTGTTTTTTGCAGGATTTATTTATTTAAAATGCATTATAATACACACTTACTACCTACATGCCGGGCACTGTTCTAAGCACTTTATAAATGCTAAGTCATTTACCCTCATGAGTTATTATGCCATTGTGCTCAGCTCCAGATCTACCTTTTTCTACTCTGGCTTATAGCTGAAGCTTGGGGCCTGCAAACCAGTTCTTTGGCAGCAGGGTTCCTGTTGATTTCTGCCAATAGGGGGCACTAGAGGGAGACTGAGTGCGGGAGAGAGGAAATTTTCTCCTTTCTGTTGGCTTGCTGTTGGCTCCTTGCAGCATCCCCCCAGTAACAGCCATTTACCTGGCATCAGCCATAGGGCCCAGCCTCCAGCCCCCAGCCCCCTTTCACAGGCTTCCCAGGCTTCTGCAGACTTAGCAGCAAGTCTTTTTCACTTCAGGTCCAGATTCTGATGGTCCAACCACTTCCCTTTGTTCCTCCAGCCCTGGGGATGGAAACTGCGTCCTCAGGTTACCACCTGTGATTGCCTCAGCACTCCTTTTCTTCTCTTCCAGCCCTCCAGCACCTGGGAAACCAGTTCTTTATATCAACTTCCTCTTGTTGAGATATACTTTGTGTGGTTCTGTCTCCTCAACTGGACCCATCTGTTATAGATCAGTACCATTATTATCCTCATTTTACAAATAAACAAAATCCAGGAAAGTTAAATAACTCACCTGAAGTGGGCTGGGATTTAAACCCGGGCTCAGGTGCCATGGTAGTCCCAGGACACTAGGGGCTCGTGTTTGTAAAGTGCTTGGTCAGGCCTGCTGCATGGCCAGCACTCAATGAACAGTGGTTGTCTGATCTCCAATCATCATCCTCATCACCACTCTTCAGCCTTTCATCCTACCCAACACCTAGGACAGGGTGTGTGCAATCAATGCCTACTAAATTGAGTCTGATTACCTAAATATGGGAGGACTGTGGCATAGAAGGGGCTTGAGTTAGAAAAGGGCATGGAGGAGACAATGGGGCCGCAAAGCTTCTACATCCTGTCCTTCTGACTCTTCCTTTGGAGTTGTTTCCAAGGTAACTGATTCTCCCTCTCTTCTTGACCCTCTCCCCACCTCCCTGCCATGCTTTCCCTGTCCTACGCTTTGG